GGTATATTTTTGCAAAGTAGGCCTATATTTTATTTTTTCCTTTTATTGATGTTTTAAATATGTGCAATACTGTAATATTTGGACTGGTAACTAATGTATTTTATTTGTTTTCTCAAAAGGGACATGGTCCTTTTTTTTGTTTAATTTATTTCTTCCAGCTGTCTAGTTGTTGGTTCTTATGGCTCACCACTCTGGAAATTGAGGTTTATATTTGGTAGCATAGGTAGGTTTTAAGCCATACTATGTGTTTCATTCTTGGATGGTAATTGTAATTGATGCAGGTTGTTCTCCTCTCTTCTGTGCATCCACAGCTTGACTCTGTACCAGGCTGGGTCTGAGTCGACACAGCTTCTTTACCATGGTGGGACTACACAGGGTGATGCTCTGTAGTGGTGTGTATGCTTAACTCTGACACTGCATGATATTTTATAGTGCATATTATAGATGTTATGTGTGTGGTGCATGCTTCCTTTTTGGTGGTGGGCCCACTGTCATGCTTTTTCTGTCTCCCACAGTCGCATGCTTAGGTGGTGTGTGTGAGCAGACACAACCTTCCTACTGTGAGGAGAGTAAACTCCTTTTTACCATCCAACAATTTATTTGCCTTACTAATTCACCTCATCGCCTCTTGATATTTTAAATTGGGATTTTATATCTATTGTCGTCTTGTAATAAATGTAACTAATGACGATATTAAAGGTTTAAGGTTCCTCCTGTCCCTCATCAGGAGGAGGCATTGTCAGGTACGGGAGGGTATTCCCTGTATTGGGTACAACACATGTTTCATTTGGTTGTCTGTCAATGGCATCATATCTCCATTACCCCCTGGCTGCTATAACTTCCGGAGAAACACATAATATTGCATAGAGTGAGAAAAGGGCTAAAAGGGTGAGTAAAGAAAATTATTCTCCTTGAGTAATGTCAGATAGTAATTGATTGGCAATGGAGGTTGAAGACAACAACTCCCATTATCCCAGACTACTCCTGTGAGGGACCGTTGGCATCAGAAATTACATACGGTGCATTTAATCCAATTTTGAAAGCCACTCATACAGATCCCTTTAGTAAAGTTATGTCACTTCATTTCTTAGCAGCAATCAGAACTTTTGTCTTAAATCCTTTATGTGTGTAGATCGCCGCTTCTACCTACTCTGAATGCCTTGCTGGAGAAATCCGATAAGGAACAAACAATGCTATTTTATTCAGAAATAACAAATTTAAACCTTTGTGAAAGTTTGACCTGGTCTTCAACGAGTCTCCCTTGATATTAGCATTGATCTCTTGGGTTTTTATTGCTGCACTGTTACCTAACAATTACCTGTACTTACCTGCAATTGCCTAAGCATCAGAGCAACATCTCTCTTCTTTAACTAACTTAAATATGGGTCTTTTCGGTTCACTATATGTGCAGCATTTTTTCACCAGCGTCTCATTCACCTAGCTCCATGCCATTTTTTGATGCACAGGTGGTGTACAGTTTGTTTGAGCTTGTGAGCTGGCAGCTGCCCATGGCTTTTTATGCAGGGGCTGGTGAGAGCCATTGGACCTCAACCAGACGGACCAGTGAACCAAAATAATGAGCTGAAAGTGGCTGTGGGCGACATAGAGCTGCAGACTGGGGTGTTACTTTTCAGTGGTGTTGGCAGTGATAGTAATCCTTTCACCTTACAGGGAGTCATTTGATTCAGAGATAATATCGGCAATGTCCCTTAATGGAGATGGAAGGTTTTTTTTCAGGTTTTATTTTAGTCATGGAACAGCCATATAGAGAAAACCAGTGGTTGATTTGTCACTGTGCTGCAAAAAAATGTATGCATGTGCTTCTTTATGTTTAGCATGCGTACATTCAACAACTTACATACTGTATGTAACTGGTGGTATGCTGGTTCCATTTTATGTACATTTGTAATGTTATTTTACACATCTAAATACTACTTTTATACTCCATTGTAGAGCTGATTGCCCTCTTTACAACTTACGTGTGCAAGGAAAAGACTACATTTTAAATATGATAAGAGTATGGAAGTAAAGTTGAAAGTAATCTGCAAACCACATTCTAAGAAAGAACAAAGCAACATTGATTTTACACAAATTACACATATTTTTAGAAGCTAACAGCACAAGTATCCTAAATAATTTATCAATAAAATCCCTTCCAGGGTATATTTGTCTTCTATGAAAGCT